ATATACAAGTGTGTGTTGTACTGAGTGAAATGACTGAAAAGGAACGTAAGGTTATGAATATAACCACGATATAAACGCGATAGTAAGTCCAATTTTGGTCAGAAACATCTAAGAAGCAGTGAAGTCACAAAGTTCAAACTGTAATGCAATATTAAGAAAAAACACTAACATTACTCAGTTTTATTTTCTATAGTAAGGCCATGGTAGCATTACCAGTGGTGGGATGCGCTTAAGTGCATTTTTCATGTGTACTTTACTTATGTAGATTTAATTGTTGGTCCTTTTGACTTTTACTCCACTACATTTCTGTAATTGCATTACAAGTTACATTCATGTCACTTCACATTACGTTTGTAAAATAATTATTTATTTTTTTGGTTTGAAGTAATCAGTGGCGTGAGGGGAATTGCGGTCCACTGAACTACTGCAAAGCAGGAAAAAAAAACATTAGACCCTCCCTCAAGAAGAGCAAGGCGATTCCGCATCTCCTGCTGGAGCATCAGTGGCAGCACTARCACACCCAAAGTGGATTCCACCACGGAGAGAGGAAATGCACCACCCATGGCCTTATTTAAGTTAACCGCTTCAAAAAACAATTGTGGAGGTTTGATAGAGGAGGTTGGTAGCAAATTTACATCTTCTGTAGCTGTTGTCACAATCTCCGATAACGCACAGAATCACAAGTGTGAACAGTGCCACTGAGGGTAAACACAAAAACAAACATTATCTGCAGCATTATTAACTAAAATTGCACACAATAAGGTATTAAAAATGCTCATACAGTAGGCACACTTCATGATATTGTAGAAGCAAGTGCTTACTTTTACTCAAGTACAAATGTTATTACTTTTACTAGAGTACATGTTTGTCTGTTTATCTGTACTTTTACTTAAGGACAGTGTTTGAGTACTTTCTCCACCACTGAGCTTTACCAGAATGYAATAGTTCCTTTGACAAAAACATGTTGTGTGGCGTATCAGAAATCAGCAACTTGAACCTAAAAAACACTGATAGTGGTTCAAGCAAATGAGTTGTAGTTTTTACCTCTATAGTTTATCATCTGATAGTTACACAAATTTTTTATGTTTAATATGTTTATGGTAAAGAAAATGGATGAATGAGTAATACTTTGATTAGCTACTCAAAGCCCTTTACAGTAAACCAAACTGACGTTTTCACTCACAATGAGGAACTTTTGGGTTCTTTGAGCTCTGTGAGGGTTTTAGGAACTACAGGGCTTCCTAAAGGTCAAAGTCTTTTTTACTCTGGGTCAAATAGTGCAGATAAGCGTGCAAGTGGGAATAAGATGAGTGACAACAACAACACTGTGATTTCTTTCTCAAATATCAGACCAACCACAAGTTTCACTACAGCTTCCTCTGCATTTTAAACCCCTTGTTTATCCCCCAGCAGGAAACTCTGAAGAAAAGTTTGTAGTAAAATTCAGCACATAATAAAATATTTATACAAAAGTGCAAAATAAAAAAAGACACAAAATAGATACTTATTGTAAAAAAAATACTACATTTTAAGAACCAGTGTTTTTACATTTCTGCAGTTTTTTTTTCTTCTTGAAACACGTTCTTGCGTTTTGTTTGTTCACTCAACCAATCACAGTGCAAAATGTGACCTAATCAATTTTAGGTTTCTCATTTGGACCAGTTATTGCGCAGCTGTGTCAGAGTTGTTTCCGCTCGCATTAGACAAATAAGAATCGAAAAAGAAATTATGTAATGAAGCAGTTCTGTAAAATCCAGTTGACCACATCCGCTTAGGTTCWAACCCCTCCAGAAAAAAAAGGAACTACCTTCAGGACGAAAGCACCTCTGGCTGCATTTTAATTCTCTCTTTTTTACGACACCAAAACAATCCCTTTATTTAAAAAGTACACTTTCACTTCAAATCTTAAGAGTCATACTTTTTTTCCTGTAAATATTCTCTTCATCAGAAAGCATAAACTGAGTTTAATAATCATAAATTCTAACTGACTCCTGTCTCATCAAAGGGTTAAACCAACACTAATATTACTCATGTATGACAAGTGTTTATGTCACTGGTTTATGTCTGAACCGCATGAAAATCACATAGATTCGGTGGAATTACAAAAATTGTACAAGTGAAGTGCTGACGTTGCCAACAGTTGCTACTCTGGTTGTGTGTGTGTGTGGGTAAAGGGGAGTGTTACGTGATCTCATTGAGTTTCCTGTTGTTCACAGCACTTCTCTCTAAAAAAAAATGCTGTCTTTCCTGACCTACAAACCCACGACCAAAAGACCCGGCAGTTCTGCGCCAACACTTTATTCGAGTCAGGCTCGGGAAATCTGCTGATGAGTTTGAGCTGGAACGCCTCGTCCTGTTCGTAGACACACCAGAGCCAGCTCGCAGTGACAGCTGAATTTATTTTCTGTTTGCTTTTCGTTCCTTTCTTTTTCTTCAGATGATTGAAACAAGAACTCATCTACAGGTGGTCCTTTAACCTGCTTACAGTCTGCGCTCCTGACATGGATTTTGTGTGGGTGAGTAACTCAGTCCTGCTATTTGAATAAGGCCCAGGCCTTCCTTGAAAAAGAGATCCGTGATCTCAGTGGGATTTGTTAGAAAAAGATTATTATTAATAATAACAATAATAATGATGCTGATGATCTTTTTAGTGAAGGCCTTCCCTATGAATTCATTCTTTATTTAATTTTTTTGTGTGTGTTTTTGAGGGGCAAGAAATTACATTGGTACAGTTAATGAAGAGATCATTATTATTATGAATATTATTATTTACCTCTAGCTAGAAATATTCTTATATCTTGCGCCAAAATATGATAGGTTTTGTGTTTTTATTTTTTGCTTCACGATGCTGATTAAGGTACATAGGAAGTCATGAGTGTCTGTTTAGTAACTGTAGAACTAGGCCTGTCACGATAACACATTTTACTGGATGATAAATTGTCTTAGAAATTATTGCAATAAAAAATAATTTTGTTTGGAGGCCAGTTTAAACTAATATAATGATATAACCCCCTCGTTGATGGAAGTTTACATTAAAATTTACTAAAAAAAACTGTTGGCAATCTCAAGTTTTGGCATGGTGCCTTGAGGGCATCCTGAGGCATCGTCAGCTGTATGAAGGCATCAGAAAACTGAAGACGCTCCTTTTAGCTAAATGTCTGTTCACGGGTTACAAGACCATGCACCTGGCAAATACCTGATGCCAGAGTTCTCCACGTTAAAGATTTGAAAAGAGGGAGGCATGAGGAAAACAAACAGGCAAATGAATGTTATCCTTCTCATTTTTTTATTTATCATCCTCGTTTTTTTTTTTTTTGTCGTCTGATTGATTTATTGTTTGTTGTGACAGGCCTGTGTAGCACTAATGTTCTACAGTTCTCAAAGCAACACATCCTAAGTATATAAAACAATTTGTGACTTTTGGATGCAGCGATTCTTTGCATTTATTCTAGTGGTTACATTTTAATTATGATCTGTGATTTGAAGAAAGACAGAAATCCTTCATGTTGACTCCTTGTCCATTAGTAACAGAAGCGGACATATTTAAAAGATTAAACAAACAAAACTTAATTTATTGAAAACTTTAGATTTTTTTTTACATGTACCTTCTGTAGTTTTATTTCTGCGTTTCTGGATCGGCAGATTAGATTGCACTAATCTGACAATAATATAACATTCTGTGTCATAAGATAATCAATGTTTATTGGGTTCCAAAGTGAATAAATTTATGATTTAATTTGGGAAAAGCATTGGTAATTCCCATTTTTGAGCAATCAAACAGTAAAACTAAATAGATCAGAGAAAGGGTTGCAAAATAAATATGTCGGTTAAGCTCAGTTTTCTCCTTTTACATCAGCTCATTGACCATTAAAGTCCCACATGTTTTCAGTAACTGTCATCAAAGAAGATTGTAGGTTTCACAAACGTTTAGTTTTTTCTATTTTTTCTGATGGACAAATCAAAACCTCACAGTTCTGGTACAATTCTGAAAGAGACGACCTCAAAAACATTTAGGTCAGTGGAAGAAGCGGTCGTCATTCAGTCATTTTAAATGATTTGTTGCTTTTTGAGACAGCAGTGAATTTATCAGAAGAGATGGAGGAAAAACATGTCATGACCTTTATTACAGCTTTAAAAGTAAATCTTCCGAAACGTGGCTGTATGGTTTAGGACTTGAGTTTTAATCAATCACTCAGTAAACAGCTCATCTTTAATGATCACGTCTCACCAGGACCACATCGGCTAACACCATCTGTAACAATACAACCACAGGCCCACCATTCGGCTACACCATTTATAAACCACCATTTATAAACCTTTAAAGAGATCCTCAAACTGGCTTTTCATTCCTATTCCTTCATAGGATGGTGAGACATTTGTGGTTATTTGCAACTAAATGTCAGATTATCTGGTAATCACAAAATGGTGGTTTTTTAAAGTTTATTGTAGTAGTTAGTACAGTGCATCATGGCTATTCAACTGGTGGCTCAGGGGCCACATCCATCTCTCGGGTTAACTCATTCCAACCCACTGATCTGTGATAGACAGTGGTGGGCACCAGCCCGCTAAAGCACAAATCCGCTAATTGCGGACTTAAATAGTTTGTTTGCGCTTTAGCGGTGTGCTTTCTAAAATTAAAATGCAGTACCACTAATAACTAATTATCTACCAGTCATCATTATCTTGAACAGCAGAAATTATGGTTGTTAATGAATCACAACACATGTGATCTATCCAACAGCACTCTTCCCAGATAAACACACTTATTGGAAAGGTATACATCCTTGCTGACTGTTGCTTTCGGTCACGGTTCTCATTTCCCACAATGCTTTGTGTCTGCTTACATAGCAGGAAGGCAACGTTTAGAATCCCTGTCCCAGTAAAAACAGTTAATGTTTGTAATCCATACTAAAATTTTGTGTGTATTGATTTATTTTACTTTACAATCGGAGCTCATTTAAAAAAAATAAAAAATAAAGTTTAAACGCTGGAGCTCAATACTTAATGTAATTGGTCGAAGCAATCGTCCAACGGGGTTAGAGACGCAGAAATGATTTAAAGATGTTATGCTGATGAAGACAGACATCTAGTGGTCAACTGGAACAACAACATGGAAAACATTAAAATCCATGCTCTTATTTTGAAGGGAAGATAGTTTCCTGTACTCCGTGATTTCGTTTCCTGTCACAAATCAAATCTGTCATGTACCCAGTATGCATCGCTTCAGTTTTCCAATAAACAGTTTTAAAATTACTTTATTGATGCATCTTTAATGAAAAATCTACAACAAACAAAAGAAGACAAAGAAGCAGCCGAACTAGCAATCCTCAATAACTTTAATTTTTTACACCAGGAGCCAGAGGTCTGTTTCATGAAATCATATCCCCAGCAATCGGCAACTGTAGGATTAAGCTGTTAAAGGGCTCATACACTGCTAGCTGGCAGTGTTGTACATAATATTGTACATGAATTACAGTGGTTTGCAAAAGTATTCATACCCCTTGAACTTTTCCATATTTTGTCACATTACAACCACAAACATAAATATTTACACCAGGAGCCAAAGGTCTGTTTCATGAAA